CGAAATCCCACTGCCATATTAATTTCAACAAAATGAAATAACAAAAAGTCAACTTACAAACTTTTCTCATATGCCAAATGCCGCAGAATCACTGCAAATGACTATGAATCCATACCTAATGAGTGGATCATCAATATCATCAAATGAACCACTAATGACGTTTTTAGGCACAGATCCTGAATACTCTGTAGAAGATTATTTAAATGCAGTCACAGCAAATTTAATTTTAAATATAGGACTTGAACCAGTAAACACGCCACTTCATCAAAATTGCCTACATAAACGCACAGTTTTAATCCAAACCACACTTGACGGCGCAGCCCAAAAATGGTTTTCAGTTTTACCTATAGAAATAAAATCAGATAGGAAAAGATTCACACAAGAATTCTTAAAAATGTTTGATTCAGAAAGAAACAAACATCATCAAAGAGTTTTATGCAATGATATTTGTAGACTACCAAATGACACAATTAAACAACTTGCAGTAAGAATTGAAACACTAGTCCGGAAAGCATACTCACTCAATTTTCTTGATCACAAAAATGCAAAGATGACAGAAATCTTAATGATGACTTCAACACCCCAATTGCGAAAAATAGCAATAAAAAAGAAAGCATCACATCCTTCCTCAATGCGAGAACCAGATTCAGGCTTTAGGAAACTAGTAGATAAACTAGAACAAGCAGAGATCACTATGAAATTAGAAGAAACGGAATTCCTAAAGCTACAATATGTCAACAACATCTAAACCACTAGTTCACAAATTAACAATTTTAACGACTCTGATACAGAATTATCTGAAAAAATCATTGAAATCTTGAATATCTACGAGAAAAACCCAAATTTTGAAAGCTAACCATCATTCAAAAAAAGTTGTAATTTTTGCCGACGATACGGACACAGCATTGCCGAATGCAGACAACAACAACAAGATAACCAAAATAAACCACAAAAATATAGAGAACCAAATAAATCATTTCATCAGTACATGAAAAAGGATCAAAATTTACCCAACAAAATCATTCATAGTATTCATAGTTCAGGAAAACCACTTCCAAACAACTCAAATTACAATTGACAACAATCACCCCATAATACGAAATATCGAGGAAGATCACTAAATCAAAGAAATTCACGAAATTTCTGACAAAACAGATATAGTCGATCAAATAGTCGCAATAGTCAATATCGAAATAACTATTCAAGATCAAACTCACACCGACCTGAATTTTTGTTTGAGTCCAGTTCCCATTCAAATCTAGAAACAGAAATTATTCAAATAATCGATCTAGAAACTCTTCATATCATAGAAATAGAAATTGTTCCAACGATAGGAATTGAAACTAATCAAATGATCGAAATCCAAGATATCAAAATAATAGATCACGCGATTATTCTAACAATAGATCAAACTATCATAGACCAGAATATAACAACTATCAAAACAGATCACGCGGTTATTCACAGACTAGAAATTCAAGTTAACAAAAAATAAAGAAACTACTCTCAGTCACCACATAGGAATAACACCCGTTATCAAAATTGACAACAAAATTATAGGAGTAGTACACCTAAACATCAAAGGCAAATAGATCAGGTACAAGCAACTGAAGAAACTCAGCCAGACCCCACTGGTATTGATAATAACGAAAGCACAGAATTGCAATTAAATCACATCAATTGCGAAACCACAGACAGCAAAAGTGACACAGAATATACAATTTCAATTAATATGATAGACGTTGAAAACGACTATGAACCTATTATATGCGAACAGCCAATGTATTTCCATATCTATCAAAACCATGATCAATTTCTTTTAAACTATTATTCAAAACCTATAATACAAAACGATAACAAAACAATAGAAAAATTAGTAGAAGAAATAACAGAAGAAAAACCCACAGAATGCTCAAGCACAAATAAATTTTATCAAAACATACCTAAAGAACCACAAAACAAAAAGAAAAATCTGGACAGTCCAACTTCTTTTGGAAAGTCCAAAATGCAAACAATTTCAAACACCATACCTTGAATTAGATTTTTTAATAGTTTCCTGAGCGGAATCAAACATCACCAACATTCCCACTTGGAATGAAATGAAAATTCTACATCCAAATATAATACCCTTCAAAACAACAAGCAGACTAGCAACTGCACAAGGATCAACCTTAACGAGTTATGGAAAAATCCAACTTTTCATTGTCACCACTAGAACAATGGAACAAAACAAACTCATGAGCAAACCATTTAAACAAGCCTTCCACATCACAGATATAAAACATGATATCATTGATATACCATTTATTACTAAATATACACCAACTATAAATATCTTAAATAGCAGAATTCATATAAAACACAGCCTTAACGTTTTTTCAAAGATTAAACAAACAAACACCATTTTTCTCTAAATTTTACCCTATATACAATCAGGAAGAGAAACACTTGAATCCACTATCAGGTAATATTTATAGCTTCTCAATTAAACAAGTTCACTCATATGATAAAGAACAAAATCAACAACATCTCTTTATGTCTGACCTTGAATTCAGACCAATTCATAAATTTTTCTGAGTAACAATTTCATCTATCAAATACATGAAAGAGTCAAACTCAGATATGATTTCTTTACATACATATATATATATATATATATATATATATATATATATATATATATATATATATTACAATTCTCCATATAAACTAATCCTTCCTCTAGGACTATTACGTTATTGTGAAACTAATCGTCACTTTCTCCCACAAAAGAAATAGCGTATAGTGTGAAAATTTTTTTTCAACTACTAGATATGTCAATCAACAATTCTTAACGAAGAAAGAATTGTCAATTAATAACATATTAAGCAATAAAAAACGAAACACAGATTATTTCACAAAAACATCATACTTTCAACCAACCATTCAAATATCAAAATACATGGAAGAACAAAATAATTTCTTACCAATGTTTAATTTTCACCACTCTCAGATAACACAAAAAAAATTGAACATTTAGCTGAACTATTATTAAAGTACCCAAAAGTTTACGCAACATCTAATTTGATGTTGGAAAAGTAAATTCACCACTAAATTTACCTCTAAAACTTGATGCAGTTTTCAAAAAGCAACGAGCAAGTAAAGTCCCAATTCACTTACAAGACAAAGTAAACCGATTACTTCAAATACTAGAACAATATGGAATCATTTCTGCGGTGAATAAAGAAGATCAGCCAAAAGTTAACACGCTCATAAACCGTGTTATCATTTTAGCAAAAGGAGAATCATTAAAAATAGTTCTAGATGCAAGATACCTCAATTCATTCATTGATGAACCTATATCTAATTTGCCGAATGAACCATTTCAAGTAATTCTTACAAAAATAAACGGTGAATAATTCACAACAGTAGATACGAATAGTACATATAATCAAATGCCGTTAGACAAACAACCCAGACGATTAAAACAATTTGTTTTTATGAAATCAACAATACGAATTCAATAGACTATTTAATGGATTTTCCATAGGACCGGCAGCATTTTCAGCATTCATGAGTAAAATTTTCAGACCACTAACATTTAATAAAGATGTAATCACATATTTAGACGATATTTTTATGCAATCACAAACAAAAGACGAAATGTTCAATGTCTTAGAAAAAAATCATCAAATATTATTACATGAAAACATGGAAGCAGCCCCGGATAAATCACATTTTTTTTCTAACACGAGTCAAATTCCTTGGACATATTATAGAAAGAAACAGTATAATTCCATCAAAATCTCGCATAGATGCAATCCAAAAACTCCAATCACCTTCGAATAAAAAGAAAATACAAGATTTTCTTGGAATG